AGAAACACTCCTGTTCGGTGTCATTGCCCAAATCCTGGATGCAGGGTTTGAGGTCATTAATCGTGGGATCCATTCCCAGTCAGAGGCTAGGTCTTAGAGAATAAGTCTTAACCTAGACCCATGGTTTCATTTCCACACACCCCTATACAGAAAAAATTAGTTATCGTGTTATTTGACATAATTGATATAGATGGTAATAGCCTCTTATTTTTCTAGCCCATTTCAGACTTGCTGATTTTAAGATTAATATATATATATATATATATATATATATATATGTATGTATTTGCCCTGCAACAGCCGTTAGCTCAATCTGATAAATATACATTTTCATATGGATAATTTTGGAAATGTGCATTATGCACTTAATGGATTGCATCAGCTTTGCACAGTTCTTCCAGAACTGCTAGCTTTCTGATTTAAAACAAAAAAAGCTCTTTAAAAAATAAATAAAAGGTGTCTGCAGTGCTTGTGTTGGTCATGGGGGATTTTCAGGTTGAGGATCATTGAGACCAGCTTCAGATAATCCATGCACTCATAAATTGCATGAAAATTTTTAGAAAATAATTTTGGCTTTAAGCGATTACTGGGCATATAATGCAACTGAAATTTTAACATTGCTCTTGATTTAAGTTCTCATCTTTCCCCTTCCAAATAAACAGCTTTATTTGGAGGCTAACTATAGACATCTATATAAAATTATTTTCTTAAATAGCTGCTTAATTAATGAAATAAGGGAAATATTCATATTCTTATGAATATTTGGCCTTATTTTGTTTTAAAAATCATTAAGAATAATAAGTAGATTTCTGTGTGTATGAGACTTAAATTCCAAATGGTTTCTTTTTTTATATATATTTTATTGATTTTTTACAGAGAGGAAGGGAGAGAGATACAGAGTTAGAAACATCGATGAGAGAGAAACATTCATCAGCTGCCTCCTGCACACTCCCCACTGGGGATGTGCCCGCAACCCAAGTACATGCCCTTGACCGGAATCGAACCTGGGACCTTTCAGTCCGCAGGCCAACGCTCCATCCACTGAGCCAAACCGGTTTCGGCTCCAAATGGTTTCTTAGACTATATTCTTTTAGTTGGATCACCCTAATTTTTATGGGTTATAAAGAAAACTTATAGAGATCACTTAATACAGTAACAGATTGCTAGCCTTGGGCATTGGACTCTCATGTGAATTTATAGCTTTGGATCAATTTGGGTTGCCATGATAACTTATTTATTTATTTTCAAAAGCACTCTTTTGCTTTAGAAGCGAAGCCAAATTTTTAAAAAATATACTTTTATTAATTTCAGAGAGAAGGGAGAGAGAGAGGTAGCAACATCAATGATGAGAAAGCATCATTGATTGGCTCCCTCCTGCACGTCTCCTACTGGGGATCCAGCCTGCAATCTGGGCATGTGCCCTTGACTGGAATCGAACCCGGGACCTTTCAGTCCACAGGCCGTGATGCTCTATGCACTGAGCCAAACTGGCTAGGGCCCATGGTAACTTTTTAAACAGAAAGAAGTGACTGTTTATCTAGTAATAAGTCATTAGTAAGTAAATGTGTTAATTCCATATGTCAGATTTGAGAATCTGCTCTCTGCCTTATCCCTTCATGGCAGTGTTTCTCAAGTCAGGAATGTGAGGGGGCTTCCAATAAGACTGCAGATAAGTGTTTAAGCAAAGGGATGTCATCTGTATATTGTATTTTGTGTTCATCACTCCAAGTCAAGTCTCCTTCCATCATTATTTTCCTCCTTTTACTCTCTCTTACACCCCGCCCCCCCATTTCAGTGAGGACTTTCTTCATGGTTGACCTTTGTTCCCTTCTCTAACAGTTACATCCAGATGTGTTTACAGGTAATCATTTTCCTGAATATAACTTGGCAGTGAGAAATGAGAGAATATAGGTTCTCTCTCTCTCTTTTTTTTTTTTTAAATATATTTTATTGATTTTTTACAGAGAGGAAGGGAGAGAGATAGAGAGTTAGAAAAATCAATGAGAGAGAAACATCCAACAGCTGCCTTCTGCACACCTCCTACAGGGGATGTGCCCGCAACCAAGGTACATGCCCTTGACCGGAATCGAACCTGGGACCTCTCAGTCTGCAGGCCGACGCTCTATCCACTGAGCCAAACCGGTTTCGGCAGTTCTCTCTTTTTTTTCTGGGAAGTGTTTTTACACAGTACAAATTAATAACTGCTTTATGTCTCAGTAAGAGGGCTTATAGTAATAATAATTCTATTGATTCTGAAAGGTACATATAGAGCTTTTCTTTATGTAAAAAGAACAAAATTGCCCATAGTTTTCACTATCTAAGCATCTGTCATACGAATGCCAGGCACCAGTTCTCGGTGGTTGCAGAGAACACTAAAGTGAGTAAGTTCCTCTGAGTTCAAAGCTCAACAATAGTAATGTGGACAGTGCAGGCCATCTGACTGCCAAATAACTGAACAGACAGGCAACGTAAATTGTTAATTTTATGTAAAAGAAAGGAGATATTTCTTTATAGATGAGCCATGAGAATTCACTGCTGCTGGAGGTGACTCGTTATAAGGTTGCAGGTGCTGGCAGAATGGAGTGAAAAGGTTTGGCATGGGCGGAAGTAGTGGTGTTGGTGTTTCTTTTGTAGAATGCAGCCTAGTGGAAGATGAGATGTGGTGGATGTGTTATGGGATCAGACCACTGAATATGGAAAATTTTTGTTATATGGGCTTTAAGAACGGGTAAGTCATTCGTTAAGAAAATGACCTGTTAATTTTGAAGCCAGTGAATAGTAGTTAGGTATGACAGACAGTGTTATGTATGAAATAGGAAGAAGAGGGCATATACACTGTCCTTTGTGTTCAGGTTGAGTGGGATGAGTAAATAATTGATATCTAGAGATTTGACATACGGGTACAATGGAGATTAGAACACAGAAATTAAGACACTTGGGTGTCCCAAAATTGTGAAGATTGGAGCTATAGTTTTTACTTAGGAATGGATTTCTTCTGTTGTTTTTTTTAATGTTTTTATTGATTTTTAGAGAAAGAGGAAGGGGGGAGAGAGAGAGGGAGAGAGAGAGAGAGACAAAGAGAAACATTGATGAGGGAAACATCCATCATCGATTGGCTGCCTCCTGCACACCCCCACTGCAGATCAGGCCCACAATCAGGGCATGTGCCCCGACCAGGAATTGAACCAATTATCTCTTGGTGCATGGGATGATGCTCAATCCACTGAGTCACCCCAGCTGGGTGGATTTCTTCTGCTTTTACTTGAATACCAAATACGAGATAGGAAGAGAGATATCTATGTGCCATAGTGGGAAGTGTTTTCTTATTTCTTATGACGATAAGCATGTTAAATGGATGTTGCCTGAATGTTGAACAGAGTTATTTAGCTTTCTGGATTCTGGAACAAGCTAGAAAAGCTTGGTCAACAGTTCATTCATACATACAGGGATTGACTCTCTGTTGTTGAGTCTACATCTGAGTAGAGAAATCAGTTGGGAACTTCTGGATGCCTGAAAATGAGTCCGTCTCTTTCTGGAATGGCTTTGGGCTACAAAAATCCTGATGTCTTTCAGAGAGTTTTTTGGAAGGAAGTGTCCCTTTAGTAAGGACTTTATTCATGATCTGCTAGCACTGTGGTTGGACTGGACTGCCTACTGGATGGATGGCTCCAGATCTTGGCTCCTTTGCTATTTCTTGACTCTTAATATGTATGAAATGTGGCAGTAGAGGAACCTACCTGAGTTCTCAAGGATCTGAGTTATTCTAAGATATCTTTGTTATGAAGGGTCAACAGGAAAGATAAAACAAAGGATGTTTTAAATGTGGGCATTATGGCCACTCTCTAGAAAATTTAATTGCCTGCAGATGCTTTTATTCCCAGTAAACAATACATGACCTTCGTATCCTAAACTTTACAATGATCTTGGATTATAATGGGAAGAGTTTTTATATTTCTTTATAACCACTGCTTCCTTTAATATCACTACTTTTTAAAAAAAAACAACTGTATTTCAACTTGTCATTTTATCTATCTATCTATCTATCTATCTATCTATCTATCTATCTGTCTTTGTTGATTAGGTATTACATATGTGTCCTTATCCCATTGCCCCTCCACTCATGCCCTTACCCCCCACCCCCTGGTGTCTGTGTCCATTGGTTAGGTTTATATGCATGCATACAAGTTCATGCATGTAAACTTATCCCTTACTCCCACCCTCCCGTACCTTCCCTCTGAGGTTTGACAGTCTGATCGATGCTTCTCTGAATCTGGATCTGTTTTTGTTCATCAGTTTATGTTGTTCATCAACTTGCCATTTTAAAGAGCAGCCTTTAGACTGCAGCAGTTGAGAGCAGCAAACATAATTATTCAGGCCCTGCGGTCAGATGCAATGTAAGAAAGTGCTCTTCTTCCAGAGGAAAATGTAATTTGGTTTACTTCATTCCATCTCTGATTGGCTGCCTTGTTTCTCTTTACAATTAGAAAGTAAAGAGTGTTTAGGTTAAAATTTATCGGGAAAAGATCATTGTAATGGCATGTTCAAGCTAGTCGTCTTTACATTTCACTTCTTTCCTCACAAAATAATAATTGAAAATAAAGTAGCACTTGGTCAAGCCATTTCTCTTTGTAATGATGAGGCATCTATTTGAATAAGATATTCAGGTTTTGTCTTGATGGGTAAATTTGAGCAAGTACCTTCAACTGAATGTGGATACTCCCATGGGATTTCCTCCTCTCCCTTCTTCAGGGACCCTGAAAACAATAGAGGTTTTATCAAGTTCTTTAAATTAACAGAAAAGTGGTATATAAAAAAAAGAATCCAAGGGCTGTTTCCCTTTAGCTTAAAATTATTAGTAATTTAATATTACCTCTGAGAAAAAAATTTTCTCTAAAATGTATGTGCTTTGTCATTTATTTATGTATGCAGTGGCTTTATGGGCCGTCTTTGTTCCCTTAAAGGTAAATGCCATTGTTTTAAAATTTCTTTTTCTTTTAAAGACTGTGTGTATATTGAGAGTCGGAGACCAAACACACCGTATTTCATCTGTAGCATTCAAGACTTCAAACTGGTAAGCATTTTTTTCACGTGCTCTTGATTCTACTCTGGACCTTTCTTTTCCAGTTCCTTTGGCGCTCTCATGGTTGCTTGTCTATCGTATGGATTTTATAACCAGTTCACCTTCTTGCGTGCTAACGCTCCTGGTGGCGGTAGCACGCACATAAGGCAGTCACCAGTTTGATCTTCCCCGTTTGTGACACTTAGATTTACAAAGCTCATATTGTAAATAACGTGTGTGAAGTTTCCTTCCTCTCATAGGTGTTTTGACATCCATTTCCGAGATTCCCTTGAGTTTCTGAAGTAGTTTGTTTCTTCTCAGCCATTGGGAAGAGCCTGAAGAAGAGTAATTCTGGCATTTGATGATTGGAGAAAAAGAATGTACATGGGCCAGAGGCTGGTTTCGGTGGTGACCATAATTAATTTACTGGGTCTCCAAGTAGTGGAGGTTGGAAGTCTGGCTCAGGGATGATATAGCTATAGTACTTTCTCATTAAAAACTTTTCCTAAATTCATTAAGTATTGATGTTGCCCACCATGATCTCTGTGTTACGGACCAGTGGTCCCCACCCTAGGGGTTTTAGATCCCTGGATATCTGTAGAGATTTTGCAAAGGTCTGCAAGTAAACATTCTCAGTCTTAAATAAATGTACCTCACACATCTGTGCAACTGTTTTCAAATGTATTAATATGCTGCTGTGTTTTTAAAAATTTACTTAATGATAATATGCACTGAAGAATTCCTGTTTATTAGGTATTTTCCTCAAGCGGTTGATAAGTGAAATACTACTGAAGTACTGTTATTTGGGGATCTTTTGAAACATTTAGATCTTAAAAAGGGATCCCTGTACTTGAAGGATTGTGACCACTCTCTAGTTTTAAGTGTAGAGAAATCCTAATCCTAATTTGTAGAGATTTTATCAGTGTCTGTGACTGTCCTTATTTCAAAAACCCTTTGAAACGTTTGACAATTCATTATATGTGATATTTCAGTCTAAGGAAAAGTAATGCAGTAGTCTGAAGAGATCTTTAACTCTCCATCTTCTTTGTTTCTGATGGCCCCAAGTATCTAACTAGCATATCCAATTCAGTTAATAAGTGCATGCCATTTATTTTTTTTTCTTAAAAAATTATTGCATAAGTAATACATGCTTACTGTTACAAAGGAAAGTCAAACGTGCCGTACTCCCGAGGATTACACTTGGCACCTGCTTTCATCTTCCTTGCTTGTTTTGCAAGCTGGCCTTGCAGTTTAATCTTGTGAAAATCAAATGCTTTTTATTCAGATTTTATGTCAACACAAAGTTTTATCATTTTAGAGGTCTTTGTTATTTGTTACATGTTTCCTTTCAAGTATTTTTTACAGAAGCTACACTGACATTTGAAAATCTGGGCGGTGGCCTTGTTTCCTGAAGAGTTTTGTTTGGCTAGTGGCTGCTGCTACTGCTCTTTTCCTGGTCACTGTCTTTGTGTGTGATTTTTATCAAATATAATACCAGTGCACCACGGAAAAGATACAGCTGTGAAATAAAATTGCAAAGATTTTTCTTGTACCTTTTAGAACCTGAGCCCCTTTTGTACAATTTGTGCACATTGGCTGGTGCCTTCATGTTTGTGCAGCGTTGCTTATGAAATGCTGATTATAATGTGATAGCCCAGGGCAGAGGTTCCTGCGGAGTTATAGTAATTGCTCAGGGCATTAACAGCAATAAAAGCTGAAGCTTCTGTTGTCGGTATTGGTCTAGTACAGCACATTAAAGCTGTATGCAAAAACAATGTGGGAAAAGGGTAGGGTGCAGTATGTTAAGATACCTTTTTCTAAATCACACACTGCTATGCCTTATGGGTTTGTTTGTGTTTTGGTTTTTTTTTGAGTTCTGTATTCAGCACACATCATAGTTATGTAAAAATAACAGTGATATTGAAATATTTACTACTGGAAGGAATGTAGTTATCGTCTGGATATCCGCTTTCTTCTTTCCTTGGTTTTCAATACTATTTACAAAAAGGTAACCTAATAGAGGAGAATAATTCTAGGTGGTTGTTTTTTTCTTCTTCAGCTTACCCAAGCTATAGGGGAAAGGATGAACAGAAGGAAATATGCTTTTTTTTTCCTCTGCAAGATTTTAAAAAGAAGAAATTGGAGTTGATTTGCCCACAGGAAATACCATGCATGACAAGTGGAACAATGGAAACAAAAGCCGATGGCTTTGAAATGTTGTTGATGATTTCATCTTTAGGTTTGGGGTTGTAACTAAAATGTATTCTTTGTTTATACCACTGATTATAATTAATCCTTTTACCATGGTGAGTTTGTGAATATAGTTATATTTGGGGACTGTAAAAAGAATGGGGCGAATGCCCTTTATGGTACATGTTAGCTAAGAGTACAGTGTTAAACACATCAGAGACTAAGGAATTGAGAAGTGGACTTAAGGAGACAGCTACCACTGGTCACTAGCACAATGCCAGTGTATTGAACTGAGGATCCTGGGTAAGAAGGGTCCTTGGATTTTATGCAGGGATCTGATTGTCTTCCCACAGATTCTGAGTCCATGATATGAGACATAGCTGCTTCTGTTGACCAGGTTTACATCGGCTGTCCTGGTAAACTATTAAACAGTGCCCCTTTTCACTCAAAGGTGTCCCTGTTGGGGTGACAGGTTATATGAGGATGGGATTCATGGCTTCCATTTTATTAACACTTAACTATCAAAACACACACATAAGGCCTCTCTGTCCTACATTGGTAGATATATTTAGAACCTGCACTTCCACAGGGGTAGGTGAAAGCTATGATGTTGCAAAAAAATTGAGTTCCTGACAGAACTGAGGTTTTTGGAAGTAGCATTTTCAAGGGAAGGGAATTACTTGTTCTATTAGGATGCTTTCATTCTCTCTGGAAGTGTTCATTAGATGGGCTGATTTACAAATGGGGAGACTGGGTTTGTTTGACTGCAATGGCAGCAGTATCTGTGGAACATGCGAGAAGCAGGGGCAGGAGAGGGAAGCTTGAATTATGGACAGTGTATGCTTAGAAGCAGGAAGGAAGAGGGATCATCAGTTAAATAAGGCAGCTTTACACCTTTGGCTTCTGAATTAAATATTAAAGCAGTTGGCAAAATCTTTAGCTCTTGGAAAGAACAGTAATGTGGAATGGCAATCTATGATCTCTGTGGCCTGGCTTGAAAAGATGAGCTGAGAGACTGAGTAGCTAGCAGGGAGGGCAACGCTAATGGGATGAGTCAAGAATCGCCTCCGTGAGAGAGGGTTGGGGAGGCACAAGCAGGTCACAGGCAGGCTGGTGTGATGGGCAGGACGCCAGGGGAAGCAGAGGGTTGGAACATTGCAGAGCTGAGGGGAGACTGCTCGCCTCCTTGAGCTCTCCGGATGTGGCTTCCAGGTGGAGTGAGAGTTCCCCTCAGTGAAGCCTCTTCTTGGCCAGTTTGAGTTGATCTCAGTAATTGCAACTGCAAGAGCTTAGCATACCACCCTCCGCCCTTTCTTCTGCACTCCCATCGCTTTTCTGGTCACTCTGTGACTTGGTTTCTTTTTCTTTTTCTTTTTTTAAACATATATTTTTACTGATTTCAGAGAGAAAGGAAGAGGAAGAGAGAGATAGAAACATCAATGATGAGAGAGAATCATTGATCGGTTGCCTCCTGCAAGCCCCCCAGTGGGGATCGAGCCCCGCAACCCGGGCATGTGCCCTTGACTGGAATCGAACCTGGAACCTTTCAGTTCCCAGGCCAGTGCTCTATCCCAGGAGCCCATGAGTGGGAAGGTCAGGTGGGGCCAGCTCAGCCTTGCTAGCCCTGGTCCTGCTAGTCCCAAGGGTGGGGTCTGAGTCATACCCCCTGCCTAGTGCGAGTGCTGATAGTTTAAAAATATTTTTATTGCCCTGGCCGGTTTGGCTCAGTGGATAGAGCGTCGGCCTGTGGACTGAAAGGCCCCAGGTTTGATTCCGGTCAAGAGCATGTACCTTGGTTGCAGACACATCCCCAGTAGGAGGTGTGCAGGAAGCAGCTGATCGATGTTTCTAACTCTCTATCCCTCTCCCTTCCTCTCTGTAAAAAAATCAATAAAATATATTTTAAAAAATGTTTTGGGTTGTAATCAGGGCCTCTGACAAGCATTTATTGAAAACTTACTTTGTGTTCTTTGCTGGGTGCAGCACCATAATGGGGGCTGAAGAATTCGAGATCTAGTTCCTTCCCTCTGTGATTGTAGGTTCTAAGGACAGACAGCGGTGGCGTTTTTGGATATCAGTCCTCTTTGGAGAACGTTGAATAGGATTGATGTGGGGAAAGACATTCAGTTTTTGTCCCCAAGAAAGATTTCTTTCTTGTTCTTACTAAAAAACAACAAAATTCCATATTTATAGAAACCCAGGCCTTAGCATAATAGAGTTAATGTGCTATATAGAAGTAATCATAGATTCTGAGAATGCTCAACAAGAAGATCATTGAAATTAGTAATTTCCATTCAGTATAATACCCAGGAGTTTCTGGTCTGGGTCTAGCAGTAGTAGTTCATACCTAAGTCTTCATTCACAGGTAAGTAATCGAAGCTGTTCCTTTAATATTCTACATGGGAATTTTGTGTGGGTTCTTAATGAATTTCTGTCATTTATATAGCAGAAAAAGTATGATTTTGGTTTCTTTGAGTTATAGTTATCTATTCTTCAGTTGTTATATGAAATGAATTTTCAGGTAGGATATATAATTATTACAAGTATTATTTTGAGCAAATAACATTGATTCACTGGGCTCTTATTTGGTTAATTAAAACTAGGAAAGTTATTAAATTTATACCTCTTCTAAACATTCCTCAGAGTTGGGGATATGTCATTAAGAATATTATGGTTATATCCAGTTTACTGTTTAGGGCCCAATTTGTTGTTATGGCTCTGCATGGATGAATGTGCTGGTGTATCATTTATGTCCCTAACAGTTTAAGTCCTAAGTACTGATTGTGAATGCTTAATGTGCCACTAGTTATCTTGGACAAGGCACATCTCCATTATTGCTGTGAATGTGGGGGCCAAATTATTCAAGATTTCAATTTCCCTCTTTGTTTCATTGCCAAATGTGAGCAGCAGGGAGAGGAGCATTGGGAATTTCTGATTCCTGGTTTGATAGGTTTACACCCCAAGAGCTGATCACAACAAATCGCAACTGCAGACAAAGTAGCTTTAGCTTAGGTTCCATTTACTGTTAAAATTGCCCTCTCTACCCCAAGTTGAATTTCTCAGAAGTGAAATAAAAGTAAGAATCTGCTATTCGTGCTCACTTCGGCAACACATATACTAAAATTGGAACGATACAGAGAAGATTAGCATGGCCCCTGCACAAGGATGATATGCAAATTCATGAAGCGTTCCATAAAAAAAGAAAAAACCTGCTATTCCTTCTTTAAAATGGAAACTTACTGAGGATAAGTAATTATATCCTCTCATTTTTTTGTTAGAGATCTTTACATAGGTAATGCTGGGAGGTGTGAGAGACACATTTACATGCACCCTTTGTGCGTACATACATGTGTATACACAATGAGTTAGTTATCATTATACACCATTTTAATATTAGGTAATTCTTGTGTTACAACTGTTCTGAGGGTGGGCAGGATGTCCACATTAATTTGAACATGGCTAACTCAGAATTTGAGATGCTTTTCTGGGACTGAGATTGGGGATGGAACAGTGCATGGGTTGACAGCTTGCGCTTGACATCAGTTTGTTCCATCAGTTGCTCTCTTTCATGACCTTGGGCAAGAAACTTAATCCTCCTAACCTTGCTTTATTTATTGATGAAGTTGGGATATAAAGCACCTGTCTTGTAGGTGGATTGTTTTTAGGTTAAAAGCGAAGCCTACACAGTGGATAGTAGCACAGTGCCTGGGCCATGGAATGACAGATCATGATGTTGGTGTGTAGCTTTACGCTTTGTGAGGGCAGACCTCACACCAGTTTTATTCATTGGTGCATACTGAGCACTGAGCATATTGCCCAGCCCACATAAGATCCACAGTAAATATTTATTGAATATTGAATGAAGTAACATTTCAGTGGAAGGAATTCACTGGGTAAGGTTTCTTAAAAACGTTAGTAATAGTTTGATACAGTGTTTGCATTAGCTACAGATTTACTTTCTGTTTATTAAACAAGCCAAAGAGATCTGCTTCTTTACGTTTTGTTTAAGCTTGCAATATGTAATATTTTCTATACTTAAGTAATAAAACTCTATTCTTAAAATACTTTAAAACTCAGTTTCTTATTTTCTTCAGGAAATTTACATAAGGGTAGCCAAAGTCATAACATTGATTAGGTGTTACTATAATGCCTTGCGTTTTCTATAATACTTTTAGCAAAGATAAATGAGGGCTCAGCACATATGTAAACATCCCAGAGAAGGCCAGCTTATAGGAAAAATGCCTTACGTGTGATGATTCATTTCTCTGCAAAGCAACGGTTGTCTGTCTTGTTTTTCATAGTCCCTCAAGTCAGGCCTGCAGAATTATTATTTCTTTTTATAGTTCTTCCTTTTCGTTCCCACAAGGTCAGTGCCACCCAGCTGCAGCTTTGTTACTTGAGTGTAACGTTGGACAAGGAAGTGAAAACGGTGAGGTTTGTTATCAAGTGTTTTCAATTTTCTGGAGTGAGGAATGAAGTGTTACTTTAAGAGATAATGGGATGTAGAGCTGAGAGGATTCTTTAAGAGAAGTTGCTCCTTTCTGTTGGTTTAGTTTTCATCTGTCAGGAGTGAGTGCATAGCGTGGCAGCCCTTCCTACAGTGATTTCTGAGCCAAGAAAAGGTGTGTGTTACTGATTTGGTGCTAGAGCAGCGGTTCTCAACCTTGAATGCACATTAGAATCACCTGGGAATCTTTTTAAAATGCTGATTTCTGGGCCTCATCCTCCGGAAATTCTGTTTCTTTCTTACTAATGTTGTGGCCCCGCCCCATAACAAAGAAACAGAATTTCCGGAGGATGAGGCCCAGAAATCAGCATTTTAAAAAGATTCCCAGGTGATTCTAATGTGCAGCCAAGGTTGAGAACCACTGTGCTAGAGGATTCTCAGGGAGGGCCACAACTTTTTTTTCTTTCTTCTTTGTTTAAAATAAAGGTCATGGTTGCTTAGTTGTTTCCATAAGCATTGTCATTAATAAACTACAATGGGGTGTTGGGCTTACTCAATGCTATGTTTGGAGTAAGCCACCAATAATAGGTACACTAAGTCCTCACTTAACATTGTTGATAGGTTCTGTGAGTTTGAGAGGAATGACATATAACAAAACCAGTTTTACCACAGGCTGATTGATATAAACAAGCGTTAAGTTCCTAAGACTTCTCATCAGTGTTATAATGAAATGAAGATGAACAAAAGGCGACCTGCTGTATGTGTTCCCGTGCTAAGTGTCTTTTCCACATGTAAATTTGATGTTATTTGTATTTAATCCTGTAATAGGCAAGAGTAGGATGAAATGTCTTCGTCAGATGAGGTGATACTGGATCTTGGCTGCTAACTCGTCCCCCAGTTCTGGAGCAGTCATGTTGAGAGTTATTTTGAATCACCACAACCATTTTGCATGATATGAATGTCAGCTTATAAATGGTGGGGTGGTATTCACGGATGTGAAAATCAAAATGAGGCTTTGGGAATAAATAATCTCAGAGCACCTATTGGCCCCATTTATTCAGCTTCTTATCGATCTGTTTTCACTCATGACTGACAGTCATTATAGACCATGTGGGATTTAAAGTTTTAATGGTTCATGGTTACTGTGAAGTTGGTAATTCATTTTGTTCTAATTTATATGGATTTTAGGACTCTTAAGAAATCACTGGAAAAGTTTTACTTAATTATATTTATTGTCATAAAATGTGTATCTTAAATGTTATTTATTAAGCCTGTTCTCTATATGTGAAATTTTTCAATGCGGAAGACATAGGTATTCTAATTGTTTAAAAGGAGCTTAGGAAAGTTTGAGACAGTTTGATATTTGCAGAGATCTGCTGTGCAAGAATATTTGTAAAGTCTTGTCATTCAAACTCAGCTCCATACAACTGGAAATTTGTAATTTGGATGTGGATGTTTGTGTTAAAAACCAGCTCAAAATAGTCTAAAAAGCTTATTAGAACTGAAATAAAATGAGGGAAATGGAGATACTGTGTCAATGTTTTCTGACTCCTAAATAAGAACAATGATATGCTTTGAAATGATGCCTTTTTTAATGCTTAAAATATTTTAATCATTACCTGAATTTTTGCTTATTTAAAATATTGCCAAGTTGCTTAGAAATTATTTACTAGGTGTCTTTGTTTAAAGCCCTTGGTTTGAATGTATAAGGATTTGAGTGGTCTGATTAATTGAATTTCTAGTGAAAAGATTAACCACAAATTTATTTCTATTTGATGCTTATGGTAAAAAATATTGAGTATACGTTACATTCTTGTACACAGTTGAATCTTTGATTTGGAATCTGTACTGTTGGTATGGGGAAGGGGGAGCTGTGTGGTGGAGAAGGTTATGACTACTAACACGTGATTTAATCACATATTGTAACCAAGACGGTGGGAGTCAGAGACTGGCCACACACCAAGCGTGGGGCCCAGGACGTGCTGTAGAAGGTGATCTGTAGAGAGGAAAAGAAGACCACCATGATAAAGACATTCCCAATATTAGCTTGCTTTCTTGGGGTTTGTGTTTTTTGTTTGTTAGACATAGACATTAACTCTTGAATTATAGGAAGTTGTTAGAGAATGATTCTTTCCTTCTCAAAAGGAGTTAATGTGACAGGACTCCCTAAAAAGATTTAATATTAAAAAGTTTGCTTATCTGTAATTTTTAAACAACTTTAAGAACAGAAGTCTTATATAAACATTTGAGTTTTATGATGTTTTTAGTTCATTTAAAACCTCATGAAATTGAATTGTTAGTGGGTTTTTTTTGGAAATGTTATTGCTCTCTAGAATGTTGGAAAGGGATCATATTCAAACTCTTAGATATCTTTTTTGATACTTAAAAGAATTGTGCTGGCTTTCAGAAGTTGCTCTCTAATCATTTGCTGGTTTTAAATTTTTCTAGTTTCTTAAAAATACCAAACTGGTTTGCCCCTAAAAGAAATAATATCTTTCTTGAACTGTATGCTCTCTGCCTGTTCATTGTACTTACCTTATGGGCACTGGAGAAAATGGAAACTTATTTGAATGGTGTCTTTTTTCCTCTGGCGTTAATTTAAGCCTTTGTCTTTCACCTTGCCTGTAGTTTTCCCAAATTAAACGAGGACTTTCTGAAAATGGTAGGATCTTTCTTTGAAACCCCTAATGCCTTGAATATTTCCTTATTAAGTACATGCCTTATGACTCTAGCATCTTTCATTAGAAACGCTTCTGAAAGCTCGCTTCGTCCACTTGGGGTTCATTTTTATTATAAGCAAAGCATGCCACTGTCACTGTGCGTGGGCACTGTGTCATCTACCTTGGTTATTTTGAGGGGCACACACCATACTGCTTTGTGACAGGATCCAGGTTAAAGTGTAAAGCCGGAAGGGCCATGTGCGAATGAAGGAAACGGTTTTGATTCATGGAGAAAGGTTAACTTTAGTGGTCGAACAAATTCTCTGAGATTTCAGACGCCATCTGCTAAAGGATTTGTGCAGATGCTTGCTTGTGTGCTGGGTGCCCCTAGTAACCAGGGCATGAGGGGACATTGGGCATGTTAACTTAAGACTTTTTTCTTTTTTAGGTCCACAACTCCCAGGCCTGTTGCAGATCTCCAACTCCTGCTTTGTGTGACCCCCCAGCATGCTCTCTGCCGGTGGCGTCACAGCCACCACAGCATCTTTCTGAAGCCGGGAGAGGGCCTGTAGGGGTAAGGAGAATCCCGTTTTTAAAAGCTGTCAATATTTTATATCCCATAGGGTATAAAATAGGAATATTACCTCCCTCCCCAGAGCCCCTTTAAAAATGTGCTGTATTGTATGTGTTTTTAAAGGAGTAACAAGTACATGCACAGAGGAAGCAAAATACGGGACTTACCTTACCCCTCTAGGACAGTTCCAGAAGTTAGCGGGGTTTGTGGTGTAGGGTATTTTGGCACCAGCAGAGAGCATGCTGGGCTGCTGCAAGGAGCAGGAGCTGGCAATCAGCAGCGAGTATGGATGTTGGCAACTGAAATGGGGGAAACAGGGGGTAAGTTTGAGACCAAGTGGAATGTGCATCTCCCCAGGACCATTGGGACTCGTGGCCCACAAATCTAAACTGTTTGGGGCGCTGTCCTCTCAGGTAAAGTTTTGTAGAGTATTGCTCAGAAGTAGCTAGGCTTTTCTGCAGGGCAGATACAGACGAAAACACTGAAAGGCATGGGGCGGGGTGTAGATCATAGCACTCAGCGGTACTCTGCTAATTCCTCTGTTACCTGGTGGTAATGTGGGATGTGTGTGAGATGCAGCAGTGTGAAATGTCCCTAGTTAGTTATCCCTTAGCACACGGGACCCGGTGTACGATCTCAGAGGGCTAGCTCTGTCTCTGTCTTACCTTTCCTGAAAGCTGTGTACATACCTTTCCTTTTTCCCCCTTTATTTGTGAGGATTGAATGGGAAAGCTTTCTGAAAGATAGGTGTTATTGTTCTGATCAACTGCCGTGAATCACTGAAGAAATAAATGTGAGACCTGCCTTTCTCTTGCATGTAATCTGACCAAACTCATACTCAGAAAATGACACAGAAAATTCTCATCCCAGACGCACACGTGCTATACAAGGTCCTGGGAATGTGTGATGAATTGTTCCCTGGCCGTGTAGAACATTCCTACCTTGAGACCAAGAGAAGAGAGTGCTCCAAACGGGCGGTAGAACTGGGAAAGTTTTGTGATGAGAGGTCGGTTTTGAGGAGCTGGTTATGTTTTTGATACATTAGTAACCTGTGGCCAGGCAGAGTGGAGGAGCCTTCCAGGTGTACATGTCCGCTTGTCCCTATAAGCAACATAGACAATGAGCCTGGTGAAGCTGGGAGTTGTGAGAAGACCACAGGACGTCAATGAAGAGCACAGGTTAGTGGGACTTGGGAGGCAGAGGTGCGGATATAAAATGGGGCTGGATCATAAAGGATCTTAAAGGTTAGAAAAGGTGAAATTTTATGTGATAGTCGGAAGAGAGCCTTTGCAGCCTTTTTTATTTCCTGTAAGCCGATTTGCAAATCACTGCTTAAGAAGATTCATTGGGAAGCAGAATGCTGTGTGCAGTGGGGAAAGACTGGAAGTTCCAATTAGGAGGCTAGGGCTGTCATCCATGCATAAAATGAAGAGGACCAAGACAATAGAGATGGGATATTAATAATTGTAACAAAATCAGGAATAATTGTCACAACAACAATTTCATGTTTGGGTAATTGCCAGTGTAATTTATCAAGAATTAGACCAGAAAAAAGGTTCACATTATAGAAGCCTTGGAATTATTGATATAATAGCCACTCACAATGTAAGATAAAACCCAGTGTAGTGGATAAAAGTCTAATTTTAATCCCTGAAGAGACAGATTGACATTTTAAGGGACAAATTAGCAGAGTCCTGACTTGACTACCTATTTCAAACGCTTCAGCCTTTACCACTTACCGTCTCATTTCCATATGTGTCTAAGAAATGACTGTTCTCTTTCAGGTTGATTGTTTCTCTATTCTCTAATCAGTGTGGATGTCACTGTTAGACTGTTTGATTTCCACAATACTCACCAACCAGGATTTTCTAAATAGATTGAAATTTTTTCCAATAACAGTAAACTTGTTCTGTGAGCATCAGTGATGGCCACTATTTAATTTTTAGCAGTGAAAGTGTTGTGGTCACCGAGGATTTAAATAAGTTTATGATTGGTGGTGTACTCAGATACCCTCATATGAAGGCTTGAGAAGATTCTGTAATAAGATGATAAATCTTTTAGTCAAGATGCTGCTGCATAAAGCTAACTGTATTGATTGTTCTGTAACAATGCTTCATGCTGCCAAAGTCATTTGAGCTGGATCTGTATCGGATCCAGTTGGCAAAGCCCCCTCTCACGCCCCCCCTCCCCTGTGTGGGGCTCATAAATTCTGCAGGCACACAGACCTAACACAGCGTAATGAGAGAGCTGCGGGGAAAATTGATTACAGGGCTGCAGACAATATCATTAATGTTTCTTGCCATGATACACCAGATGTCTTCGCTAATAGACTATTTTTGTTAATTTAGTTTTTATACCATAGCATTGCTTGCATCATAATTTAACTGGCTTTGCATATTCAGGTATATGTGATCTGTGTTTCTACACTAATAGATGTATCAACTCATAAGATTTAATTTTATAAATTTCTAACTTATTGACCATTTTTAAAGTATTTGTACTGGAAAGGCAATATTTTTACTTGTTATTGAGAATCTGTTAGCTTGGATGTTTTCTAGCAAAAAATACTGTGTTTACTGGTAGTTTGGGGGTTACTGAGGGAGATGAGATGGCAACGAAAACATTGCTCAGATCCTCAGTAGACGGGGCAGAGATGGTCCCAGTGCAAGGTGGTGTGAATGGCACGAGAAATTCTCCAAAGCAGAAATGGTGCAGCCATTTAAAGGGGATGCAGTTTCATTGGTACTGTCCCGGGTGGGCTCTGCAGGCTGAGTGCTATTGGCTACACCTGTCCTCTTCCTCACAGGAGAGCAAGGGCTAGTTAGGGGATTTAGTCATTGGGCTTTTTTATTTTTTTAGTCATATATTTTTGTGTGTTTCAGACCTCTCTCGAGTGGCTAACATATATAATATAAATAAGGTATGGGTTGAACTATTTTATTTCAGTTATTTTTTTAGCTACTGGCTTTTCGTGCATTATCTTTTAGAGAACATATTTTTTTCTTTAGACATGCTCTTGTGTAACATAGGACATATTAATCAATCTCTTTAGCCCTTAGTTTTCTCACTTAGAAAATGGGTATATTACCAGCTCTTTGAAATAATTAAATACCATATAATAAGCATTCATTAAGCATTCTCTTTTATCACATAGATATTTGTTATACAAATTCAGATTTAAAATTTTTTTAAAAAATATATTTTTATTGATTTCAGAGAGTAAGGGAGAGGGAGAGAGAGAGATAGAAACATCAATGATGAGAGAGTCATTGATCGGCTGCCTCCTGCATACCCCACACTTGGGGATGGAGCCCACAACCTAGGCATGTGCCCTGACCTGGAATGAACCATGACCCATAGGTTCATAGGTTGCCACTCAACCACTGAGCCACTCTGGCCAGGCCAGATTCAGGTTTTAAATAATTTATTAGTTTTCTAATAGGCCCCTCGGTAGTCTCTTTGAGTTTAAGAGGTCCTATAAAATTCCTAAAATTGCTTGGCAAGTCTTATATGTATTAGCAATTTTTCTGCAGAGAGTATACTTTTCAACCATAGATGCTAATCACATTCCTAAAATGTTGAAAAAACCTAAATATTAAGATTAAAAGCTGGTAGGTCATTTAAAATCAGCTAGCTGTTTGTTAAGGAGGTAAACTAACATTAAGCATTACTTTGTGTCCAGGCACTTTGCTACTCTTTTGATCCATTTAATCTCCACAACAATCTGTGATATTTATTTAATTGTGCAGATGAGAAAACTTGAGGTTTGCATTTGTATAAAATCTTGCCCTGAGTGGCAGAACTCATGAACTTACCCTGGTTTTACATAATCTTCACTTGTCTCATGGCGCCTTCTCCCCGTGACCCTGCAGTGATGCCTACCTTTGCCTCCACTTTACTAGAAAGTTCCGGAGCTCACATGCTGTTCAACGTTTGGTATAGAAGAGGACTTCTGCCACTGAGAGTTTACAGGCTGACCCTTACCTTGAACAAATGGACAGTGGCTAACAGTGTGGTGTGAAAACCCTTTTTTTCAGTATCAACAAATTTTGTTTTCCTGTTGGCACTTGTGGTCATGTCTTTAGTGTCCTTTTGTGTAAAAAAATGCATGACCAACAGCTCCTGTGAGTTCCCATTCATTCATCTTAATAGATCTACAGTTGACCCTTGAACAACCCGGGAGTCAGGCCCCTCCTAAAAGTAAAAAATCCATATAACTTTGACTCCCCTAAAACTTAAGTTGTTCTTCGGTATCTGTGGGGGGGATTGATTCCAGGACCCCTGTGGATACCAAAATCCGAGGATGCTCAAGCCCCTATTCACAATGGCATGGGCCAGTGTATACTGTCAGCCTTCTGCATCTGCTGACTCCCCACTGCAGATAGAAAACTACAGTATTTATTGAAAAAATGCAAGTCTAAGTGGACTCGTGCACTTCAAACCCATATTCTTCAAGGGTTAACTATGATACACATTTGAAAAATATTTCCTGTAGTCTGATTTGTTAGTCTGTGTGTTTGTTTCAGGTAAAACTTGGTACATGTAAGAAATTGGGTTTTGCATCCATTCCCCCATGTAGATAGACCCGCCCATTAACAGAGATGGGAAACGAGGGCCCAGTGACTTTCCCCAAACCCCCTGGTTCATATGAGGCTGCTTAGGACAGAAGCCAGGCCTCCTGGGTCCCTCGTTAGTGCTCTTCCTACTTCTAATGAATTTCCTCCACCCATAATGGATGCTCTTCAAGTTGGCCCATGCAGTATGCCATTTACTTCTTTAAAAGCTAAGAATCCTTTAGTTCATATCTAGTTTTAGCTTTTGTGACTGTATCTCAGAGTTCAAACAGCATTAGTTTTTGCTTCTGTAAGACATTTATTATTTTTAAGTATTGTTTCTAACACTGGTACTTCTCACACTTGGGATTTCAGTACCATTTAACAATGAAAAGCAACCATCTATATTATAAAAGGCCAGTGGCCGTAACACCGTAATGACGAAAT